CAAGCTTGTGATTGGTTGAAATTGAACAACGTGACGGCGTTAAAATAAAACTAACGCCGGTTTCATTATGGCCCAGATGGCTAACCATAGTGCATCATCCCCGACATCAACCACCATTCAAAAAGTGGGACTCTGTTATTATATTGTGCGGTAATGATTTACAGTACATGTACGTTAAGAAAAATAACGTACTTAGGTTTTGGCTCTTTGGTAAAGCCGAGCTCATAAGGACTCAAAATTAAGGGGTAGAAATAGAGTCGAATGACAGGAATGGTCCACCACCGCAGCGTCAGTCATGAACAGGCTTGTCGTACTGCCTCAGTCCGCATTGTTCAGCGTGACCACTGGGAAAATAAAAATTCCCAAGATTAAAGGCCTGTTTATACTTCAACGATAACGATAACGATAAAAAAGCTAAAAAGCAATTGTTCATATAGAAAATAAACGAAATGAGAGACGTTTTTACACTAGAACGATTCTTGAATTTTCAACGAAAATCATTCATTTTTATAATTCATTGACTAAAAATCATATAAAATCAAATAAACCTCTAAATGTATATAGTAAGCAGTGTTTATGTTCTAAATACAAAAGAATTGACTACATTTGACGGCCATATTAGCGGCCATCTTGGATTTTGAATGAAAATAATTAATTTGTATAATTTATTAACTAAAAATCATAAAAATTCAAGTGAACCTCTAAATGTATATAGTAAGCAGTGTTTAAGTTCTCAATACAAAACATCGACTTCCCAATGCATTTGGTGGCCATTTTGGTGGCCATCTTGGATTTAAAAAAAATCATATTTAACACTGTTGAATAAATATAATATATTGTAAATCATTAAAGGTTAAATTAACTAAAAATCAAATAAAATCAAAAGTATACAGTAAGCATTGTTTTATATTCTAAATACAAAACATTGACTTAGCAATACATTTGGCGGCCATATTGCAGGCCATTTTTGAATGTTCAATGAAAATTGATTATTGGTATAACATTTGACCTATATATCACACAAAAAATAAGTAACCAATATTTTTTGCCACTAATGGTCATTGAGTTTGACCATTAGTTTTTACTTGGTATCTAGGTTAGATATACATTATTTTAAAAATATTTTTTATACCATACATTAAGCCTATACCATTAAAAAGCGCTTTTTCATCAGGATGAGAGCGTTTTGTATTAAATTTGGGTGTAAATAAAGTGACTTCTCATATTTTTGTCGTTTCAATGTATCTAACCTGCTTAAATCATAGGTCATGGATCTCAATCAATTCCCAATGACAACATTACTCTGAAAAAATTGGTTATTTCTTTGTATAATATAGGTGAAATGTTATACGGTTATCAATGTTCATTTAAAAAAACAATATGACCGCTAATGTGGCCGCCAATATAGCTGCCAAAATGGCTGGGCAATGTATTACGAATTCAATGTTTTGTATTGAGAAAATAAACACTGTTTATACCATGGGCCTATGTATTTAGAGGCTCATTTGGTTTTATAGGATTTTTAGTTAATAAATTATACAAATTAATGATTTTCATTGACAATCCAATATGGCCGCCAAATGTATTGAGAAGTCAATTTGTTTGTATTGAGAACATAAACACTGCTTACTATATACATCTAGAGATTCATTTGATTGTATATGATTTTTAGTTAATAAATTATGCAAATAATAGATTTTCATTCAAAATCCAAGATGGCCGTCAATATGGCCGTCAAATGTAAATGCGAGGTCAAAGTTTTTGTATTCAGAACTTCAGCACTGCTAACTATATACATTTAGAGGTTAATTTGATTTTATATGATTTTCAGTTAATAAATTATGCAAATAATTGATTTTCATTCAATATCCAAGATGGCCGCCAAAATGGCGCCAAACGACCCCATGGGACAATTTTTTTTCGATGGGAACATCAAAATTCGTTCATCAGATACTTTAAGGATTACAAAAATGTTAGTTAAAAAATATATCCTGTGGGTGCATCTGAACCCCCCGTTCCTACTAGACTACATAGGCCTATTACGGCTATAGGCCTACAAAGATATTATATAATAATAATAATAATAATAATAATAATAATAATAATAATAATAATAATAATAATAATAATAATAATAATAATAATTTTGGCTTATATAGCGCATTATGCTAAAGCCACAATGCGCTTAACAATAAAAATAAAAATGCTAGGAGAAATTTAAGAAAAGTACATGTTAAAAGGGTGTTAAATTAAAAGGGCATAATCGATATTTACAGATTTATGTAATTGATCTGTCAATTCTATACAAGGGGCCTACAGTATTGCATGGGAGAATTTAACAATAAGAAAAATGGGGAAAACAGTTTTCTTTTAAATTTACTTCAGCGAGTGTGTATACGAAACCGGGTAATAGAATTTGATAATACATCTAGAAGTGTGGAGATACGGACCCTATTATTAGGAACTATCGAAATTAAAACGCCTCCAACGATCATTTTCTAATGATTACAAGATGACCAAGCATGTGAACGAATCAGTCTAATATGATATTCAGAGATATTACAGCTAACCGCTAATGTTTGTTCGCATGTCTATTACACACTATCACGAATGCATGTAAAAAGTAATTAATGGTCCTAAAATTTGTTAACAATATGGGCCATTTAAATTTATTGTAAATATTTATTTGAATTCATACACCAATTTTGTTTCGAGCTGTTTGTTTTCAATATACGATGAAAATGTTTTAAAATCGTATTGTATAACGCTCCAAAATTTGATCTATTTGCAAACAACAGAAGGCTCTGAATTTTTACAAGCTGACCAAGCATGTTGCTGCATCATTAATGTTCAGAGGCGATCACTATTTAGAGTTGTTGGTAACTTTTTTCAGATGAAATTGTGAGTGTAAAGATTGTTTAGTGTATATAGTTAAGTGTATAAGAAAGGTACATAAATAATGCACATAAAATCAATTGTCGATGGAGAACGGCGTCAGCCATCTGATTAGTCCCATATTGATAGTACCGATATTTTAAATAGGCCTACTCCTCTTTCTCGAATTGTTTTATTGACAGTAGTGACATACCTAAATCTTATATAATCACTTTAACAGTAACATTCTAATCAAAATAGGTTCACCATATCGAAAAAGTTTGAATACCTACCCAATTCGTTGGCGATGTAGTCCCCAGTGTATGTTATGTTAATGAAACATGTCATACATCAAGGAAGTGTACCGTATATTACAATATGCCTCGTATACTCAACATGTAACCATCGAAGGGTAGGCGTAGTATTTAATTGGGTCCCAATTTCACATGATGCGGGATCATCGAGGCTATATCAATTTGGCGGCAACAACCAATTGAATGATTTTCTATATTCAATTCGACCCCCCCCCCCCCACCTTTACCGGTCGGAGAAAAATTAAATTTGTCGGGGAACAATTTTGTGTTATGAAATTCTTTATTTAAAAGGGATGTCGGGAGTAAATAACACCTCGCACACGGTAGCACGTCTGCTCGCACTAAACAGTTTCTAATCCCTAAAATGTTGACAGCTTAGTAAGACCATGGTAAGACATGTTTGAATTTACTTTTAGAATTCGACATTTGATTTTCCCCGACAGAGGGGGTCCAAGCGGGGGTCCTTTCCCCCCTGGGCCCCTGCTAGCGCCACCCCTGATTTACTTGTTACTTGTATAGCGATTTTGCTTGCAGTTACAAAGCGATGCATATCCACTGCACGAAAGTCAACAAAATACCCCAAGTACAGCTTGCAGAACCAATACCGAAATAAAGTGTGCAAACTTAAATATACAGTAATGCTCTACAGAAGTAATTCGAATCAAAAAAGGTTCGATATAAAAAAAGAAAACCAATGAACCAATGAAGTTCACAAATAAAGGGAGAGGTATTGAGTGCGTGTCTTTTCAACAGACCATTATACTGAGAACTGCAGTGGCATATTATAGTGCATTGATCATACTTTCAGACCATGAGTAGAGTACTGGCCTAATGAGAGAAATAAATATTTTCGAATATGTTTTTATCGAGGTTGCTAAGACGATTTGTATTTGGGAGTATTTCTATATCTTCGTCCATGAATAAATGGTACCGTGCCTACAGGTCATGTCATAATATTTATTAGATGCAAAGATGAACCATGGCGAACGCTGCGAAGGTCTAGATCCGCGCCTGGACACAATATTTCAAGAGATTTAACTTTAAAATGCACCTTATTATTTTTGGAAAATGGCTTTAATCAACAGCTTTCAAACTACTAAGCTTCCAATTTGTCTTATTTATAGCAAAATAAACAACCCTTATTCACAATTCTGTCTGTAGCAGCCTATTTGTTCACTTCTTGATAAAAAAAAAATTAAAAATGCCACATCATTCCAAAAATCCCAAGGTTTAATGAAAATTTAACAAAAATCTCAAGATCCCAAGGTGTCTTAAAAATCCCAAGATCTTGGGATAAATCCCAAGCAGTGGTCACATTGGCATTGTTATAATAATAATTTTACTATTGGATGAATCAGATAACAATTGACACAGTGGCGTAACGCGCTCTTGTGCGGCGGTCTGCCGGGCCCTCGACCCCTTGGGCCCCTAGGGACTCCTAACTACATGGTGCTCGATCTAGCACCCTGACCGAAAGAGGTTTTGTTGATACATACAGCATAATGTGTCTTTAACATCGACTATATATCATAGTGGCGAATTAAAGGGGACCCCTAAATTTTTAAATTTGAAATCTGTGAGTGCCATTTCCGGCAATTCAGAGGTGCCGTAATCATAAAATTTCTTGGTGGTGGTATGCCCTTTTTGATAGTGAAAGTCTCCCCATGAGAGCGTACGCCCCATACGCCGCTCGCTAAATCCACCACTGGACTGCTGAGGCGAGCAAATATTTTGTGTCTCGTGCAATCCGTTCCTCCTTTTTAATTCATGTTGACATTATTTCTCTTGGCGGCCACCCAAGACCGACTTGTGTGAAATTTGTTTTGATAACGGCGTTCTTTTGCACCGTTGGCTAGCCATAACCTGTTTTTGCGCCCTCTGGAGTCAGATTGTGAAAGAGACGAGAGAGAGAGAAAGCTTGGCCTGCGAAAATGTCTTCGCTCGAGGTAGAATCTGCGGAGTAAGTAACCATTTTTGAATGTTTCGTCAACAAATATGGACTACATATGTGGTTATATAATAAGAATCTCCTCTTATTACTAGCTAGGGTAGGGCCAGGCCAACAAGATAGTAGCAGGCTCGGCTGTGTGTGTGGTGGTGACCTTCTAGGCCTAGCGAACCGGCTAGGTAGGTACGTTACAAAGCGTGACGTCACACTTGTATTATAACTTATAATATAATATTTTACTTACTATATAATATTTTGTCAGGTCAAGATAAGATTCTCTTTTTTCTTCATCTTGCCATTGGTAACTATGTAAACAAATGCTATCCTCTCGCATTAGCAAATATTATGAGGTGTGCAAATAACAATTCGCACATCATACATTTGTACTGAAATTATCATATATTTATTTGATTTATCTGTAAGCAAATCACTAAGAGTGCACTGATTTTGATTTAAAAAAAAAAAAATAAAATAAAATAATTTAATAAATTAAAAATCATAAATCCAAATCAAACTTGGAAAATTGTATAGATAGATGGTCCACAATGTCTTGAAAAAATTCTGTGCCTGCACTAATAATATACTTAGATGTGAGGTTCTGTGCAGTAAGCCATACAGAACTTTCTTCGAAAACTTTGAAATGACTCTCAAGTCATAGAATAGGATCATAATAAAAGTTAAAATAAATAAAAAGATGGCCTAGGCCCTAGCCGCTAGCCTATGTCTTAACTTATTTTGCAATGTTACATTCATTATTTAAAGTGAGGACTGACCTTAGGCCTAGACCATACTGTAATTTTTTTTAAATTTTTAGCGACAAAGGATACCTAAAAAATCGGCTCAAATTTGCGTTGAAAGTTACTAGGAAAATATTAATTTTTATAGCACTTTATACAGGAGTCTCAAGCACTCGAGAGATGCGCGGATGAATTTCTAGCCTAAATTTTACACGGAGGATTATTCCCCGCTTACACAGTCTGGGGCCTAGAGGTTAGGCCTATTGTTGTTAAGTAACATTTTTGAACATTAGTAGATTTAAAGCTCATTCAGTTGTGATGCCACGTTTAGACGAATGGTTTGGTTAGGTTTGGTGCCTACCGTAGTGTCCAGCGAACAATTAGCTGTTAAAAGCAAAATTCTATTATAAAAACTAATGAAGAATTTTCATCGAGCCTGGTGAAAATAATAAGTATTTTACAACATAAAAGTAATAGAAAGAACAGATAAAGAAAGTAATGATAGCAAAAAGTAATAATAGAACAGATGAAAAAGTATTCCTATCTTTGGTTCCACAGTGTTATTCGACTCATTCAGCAGTATCTTAAGGAGAACAACCTTCTTCGTTCACTGGCTGTGGTGCAAGAGGAGTCAACAATTTCTTTGAATACTGTTGACAGTATTGATAGCTTTGTAGCAGACATAAACAGTGGTCACTGGGATACAGTGCTGCAGGCAATTCAGTCTCTCAAATTGCCTGATAAAACACTTATTGATTTATATGAACAGGTAATATTCTACATCTATCTTATTATATTATATTATACAGTATTATATACTGTATTATATTATTATTTACTTAAATGTTTACATTTACATCAAATATTAAAATATATGATTACAGTGTTTGTGTCCAACAAAAGTACATAGCAAAAAAGGAAAGAACTATCCATTACTGTACTATTGTATTAATGAGAAAAATATATATTTCATACAAAGAGAATAACAAATTGGATTGTCTCTGGATGCTGCTGCATTTTTTTAGCATTTACAGTACCTAACATGGATTAATTTTTTTTTTTTTCAATGTTGAACGTCTTTCATTATGTATTCATTTCCTTATTTTAAATACTGCACTGATGCAAACATAATATTACATTCAGGGAGTGAGCCAACCATCTATATTTTTAGTAGTTTTTTCAGGCAAAATGCTTCATTCAGGTTTAAGCTTTATTCCTTTATTTTAGAGATTTTGGAATGTAGATTTGATAGTAAAAATTTTAAAAGAATAGTAGTAACTAACTACATTGTAATTTAGTGAATGAATCTCAGAGGCCTAGTGAGTAATTTAGAATGTAATCTTATTAATACTTGCATTTTTTTCTTGTCCCTCGATTATATGCCACTTTTCAAACTCAGCTCAGTGATGTGTTCAAGAGGGATAAGCTTATTATTATGGTACATTAAGTTAATTTAAAGGGTCATTTAGGGTGTAACCATTTAATGCATAATGTGTCGCCAAGAGTCTTTGTTGCCCATCTCTGTTGGCAAATCAAAAGTCTGTTAATCAATGAGCACCCAGTCAACATACAGTAGTTGAGTGGTCTTCTACAGTACTTCTGGAGATGTGGGGAAGTCTCGTTCAAAAGAACATCAAAGATTACCTGATTCTTGGCACTATAACAGTGACCAGGCTGCAAATCTGGCTTGACGTTGAGTGAGGATAGATGAGATTGGAGGACATTAATTAGACTTAATTGTACAGTATATATTTATAACATATTTAGTGAAATACGATAAAACTTTAAAAACTAATTATTTTTATTTTCAGATTGTGTTAGAGTTGATTGAACTACGTGAACTTGGAGCAGCCAGGTCATTACTCCGACAGACTGATCCAATGATCATGTTAAAAACACAGCAGCCTGACAGATATGTTCATCTAGAAAATCTCCTGGCAAGATCATACTTTGATCCAAGAGAGGTATTGAAATTGTATATAAAATGATAGTACAGTAATTATGATAACTATCCATTTGTGTAAATTTCCAATATTATTAGCTTATGAACATTTTATTGAAATATAAACTGTGAATTGATTGCTAATTTGACATAAACAGTCCATTCTGAATGGGCCTAATCTTTTCAGTACTGTAGTTGTATTTTTTTATAAATAATGATAGTACAGTAATTATGATGACTATCCATTTTTGTAAATTTCCAATATGAACATTATATTGAAATATAAACTGTAGATTGATTGCTAGTTTGACATAAACAGTCCATTCTGAATGGGCCTAATCTTCTCAGTACTGTAGTTGTTTTTTAATGTTGTCCATATGTAGGCCTACCCAGAAGGAACTAGTAAAGAGAAAAGAAGGGCAGCAATAGCCAGTGCCTTAGCCGGTGAAGTAAGTGTGGTACCACCGTCTCGTCTTTTGGCACTTCTGGGCCAAGCCCTTAAGTGGCAGCAACATCAAGGCCTTTTGCCTCCTGGTACTTCGTTGGATTTGTTCAGAGGTAAAGCAGCTGTAAGAGACGAGGAAGATGAAAAGTATCCAACACAGTTAAACAAAACCATTAAGGTAACACTACATAATGTTTGTTTCAAAAGCTATAAGATGTTTCAAATTATTTATTCTTCTTAATACATATATCAATAAATACTGTAAACATTGTTGACTGTGTTATTTCTATCTAGTTTGGTCAGAAGTCCCATGTGGAATGTGCTGCATTCTCACCTGATGGTCAGTACCTTGTAACTGGTAGCGTGGATGGCTTCATCGAGGTCTGGAATTTTACAACTGGTAAAATCCGTAAGGATCTAAAATACCAAGCACAGGTCAGTAGTTAGTCCATTCTTCTCAGTGGTTTATGTTGTGTTGGTGAGCATTTATGTAGCGCCTTTCCTTTTGGTTATGACTGTTAAGTAATGGCGGAGAAGAAGGCAAATTCACAAGGTAACCATGCTTCTGGGTAGAGACAAAAAATGCAAGTAAATTGACTTACTCAAGGTACAATAGCATTCAAACCTACGAGATACTCACTTGTCCTCATTGGTGGAGAGAGGTATCATGGATAAAGTGACTTGCTCAAGAACACAAACAAAAAAATATTAAATAACAAAGCACTCAAAAACATGAGCACAAGCCTAGACCTCATCCACTCTATCAATTGCTCCCACTTTAACATTTTTTCTAGTAATTTTCGATTTTGTAAATGCCAGCAATACATTATACTTTATGCTCTGTTTTTATATATTTAATTTGTATCCTTTAGGACATTTTCATGATGATGGAAGATGCTGTACTCTGTTTATGTTTTAGTAAAGACAGTGAAATGCTTTCTAGTGGAGGTCAGGATGGAAAAATTAAGGTAACACATCATTCAGTATTCAGAAAATGTTTATATGGGAAGATATATGTATTTTTATCTGTTAAGATCGAGTTCAATATGTTTCATGTGAAAACATTATTAATAACCAAATATATTGTGCTACTTTTTTATAGTAAATTAGAGGTGTTAAGAAACTAGAACAGAGATTCATACAAAATTGACACTGATCATTTGCTGAAATTCTTTATACAGTACTAGTGCATTATTCTCCAACTTACATTCTATCTTTCGTAAATTCTGCACTTCCCCTCTGAAATTCTTTAAATTTTTCTCCTCACTTTCTTTTATGTTCTTTTTGTATGCTGTACTTTCTTAAAGAGGACAGCTCAGCTCAGTCAGCTAATCTGGTGGTAGCAACTGTGTGTGCGCTGAACCGTGTAGATCTGTAGGTCCTCGGTTCAATTCCCATCGCTACCTCTCTTTGTGTTTCACACTGCACCGTCTTTCACATGAGATGTTTAAGCTGTTGATCCTGTGTGCATTTATGGCCTATGTGCACGTTAAAGAATGCTGTACACTCTTCAGAAAAGAAGAAGGGATTTTCTCCCGGTGTACTGCCCAATCATCACCAAAATGACCCCACTGGAAATAAGTGTTCTTCTAGACTTTCATGGGCTATCCTTGGTGTTAAATCCAAATCCAAGTAATTTGTCATCAGGACAGCAAGAACCTCTAAATACTAATAACCAGTAATCTTTGTTACTTTTAATTGTCATCTTTTTGGAGATTTCTGAAAATAAATTAATACATGTTATAGACTCGACTGTTTTGTGATTTAAACTGAAATTTTAGGTGTGGAAAACGTCAACAGGTCAGTGTTTGAGGCGGTTTGAAAATGCACATTCTAAAGGAGTAACATCAGCAAAGTTTTCAAAAGATGGTAGTCAGATTCTCAGTGCATCTTTTGATCATACATTGAGGTAAGTTTTTAAACAATAAGCCAGTATGTAGTTTTAATTGCGCATGCCCGTATCAATCGTCATAAACAAACATTCACACAACATAGGTTTATGTTGAGTGATCTGCGATATGGTAATGTGTAGACTTCAAACTATGATTTGTTTTATTGTACTGAACAAAAGAATAACCATTGACGATTTGGTGACATTTATTAATCATAGTAGAAAAAGAAAACTAAATTGAAAATGAAGAAGTACATTTTAAACCATCTGACATTTTTATGTATCATATTATTACAATGTTGATTGTTTGATTAATTGCTTGATTGATTCCTGGTCTGAACATTTCTAAACTGAACATCATCATGTTTGGTGATTTTATAAACATAATTATATACACTGTATTATATTGAAAAATTTAAGATGGTATAAAGAATATGTTGAACTTTATTAATCAAGTAATTTGTGATGATCAAAATTGTTTTTCTTGTATTGATGTTTCTAGAATTCATGGATTAAAATCAGGAAAAGCCTTGAAAGAGTTTAGAGGTCACACATCATTTGTGAATGAGGCTATATTTGCTCAAGATGGTCATTTTGTCATCAGTGCTTCTTCAGATGGCACTATCAAGGTACTTTTTTTCCCTAATTTACCAAGTACCGGTAAATGACGAGTTGATTGGCCGAGCGGTTAAGTCAGGGGCACCAGAACCTTCAGCTATAATATCGGCGCTAGTTCAAACGGCTCACTCGCCAAGAGTTCCATTGGTGGAACAAGTCTTCTCGGATAAGGACTTTAAACCGTAAGCCCAGTGTACCCATTTGGTTTGTGTGCACCCAGTACATCCTTCGAGAGTAGTAGGGGGTTACCCTGGTGTACTGGTTCATTCAGTCCCCTGTTGTTTAATAGATATGCCACGTGGTATAGTGATTAAGTTCACTGATTGGCATATTCTTGGTGTTCGTGTCTAAAGAAATGAAATGAATATATTATACTAAGTTTATTACCAGTGTTGTATTTTTGTACATAGTGCAAGTATTAATGTAACTTTTAATAAATGGTATAATGGTCAAGAGAAAAGGAACTAAAACAAAGAAGATTAATTATTGACTTTTCTCAGTAGCTTTAGTACCTTTGCAGTACCTTTATCTGCTGTAAAGTCATTTGTTGTCACATGAACTTTGGTGTTGGTATAGTCACATGCTGTTGTCGATCAACAGTAGGTCGTATCCGCAATCTTAGTTTAGTAGGGTGCCTAACACTTTGATCTTGATTGCTTCTTGTGTTTTTTTTTTTACTATGTGTTACATTTACAAATATTATGTACTTCTTGTAGATCTGGAATGTGAAGACTACAGAGTGTGTTAGCACATACAAGTCTCTAGGTGGCAGCTCAAGTGTTGACATTACTGTTAACAGTGTCCACAGTTTCCCAAAGAATACTGAACAGTTTATTGTGTGTAACAGAAGTAATACTGCAGTCATCATGAACATGCAAGGACAGGTTAGTATGGGGGCAGGTTTGTGAAGCTGTAGTTTGTAGAGGTAGTACTGCTTGCAGGAGGTGGAAGAGAGCTTTGGGGTAGGATGAGATAAAGCTACTTGGGTGTGATAGAGATATTCTAGTGAAGCTTCGTAGCAGTAAAACTTGGGAGTGGAACTCTAACTCTAAACTGTTTTTTAGAAAGGTAGAGCTGCTTTAGGGAAAGTGGGTGGAGTTTGTGGGTGTTGATTATAGCTTCAGGTATGTATGTATGTAGGCAGGTGAATTTTTTTATCTAAGAAGTTGAAGTTGCTTGAGTAGTAAAGCAGTGGCTTGGATGGTGAATGGACTTTAATGGGAGTGGAGCTGCAGTTAGAAAGAGGTAAATGCATCTGTAGCTTGTGTAGGTGAAGCTGCTTGTGGAGGGAGCTGTATGTTTAGAGAGTGGGTCATCGTGTTCTACAATGAATCAGTAATGGTATTTGATAGATAGTGGGTCATCATGTTCTACAATGAATCAGTAATGGTATTTGATAGATATTTTTTTTATAATTAACTAAGAAAAGTAAAAGCATAAGTGGAGAAGATGCATTCAAATGTTAAATTGAATGTTTTGCTTCTTTTTTTTTCAGATTTTACATTATTTGTTAAATACTGATTGTTTTTTTGTGTTCTGTAGATTGTACGTAGTTTCAGCTCTGGTAAAAGGGAAGGAGGTGACTTTGTGTGCAGTTGTATCTCACCTAGAGGGGAGTGGATCTACTGTGTAGGAGAGGACATGGTGCTCTACTGCTTCTCAACATCATCAGGCAAACTTGAAAGGACTCTCACTGTGAGTTATATTTAATTATTACTGTATTATACTAATATACAATTAATATTAAAGGTAATGGTAGGTGAATAAACCCATAGCTTGCAGCGTCACTGTACTGAATTGCGTATGGGTGTGGTCTGTGACTACTTATCTGCTGTAAAGAGGTGCTATTAACTTTGTGTTCAGTGGGTGCACACAAGTCAGATGTACACTGGACCACCATTTTGAGTCTTTATCAAAGTGGACTTGATCTTACCAACCGAATAGTATTTTTAATCATTTAATCACATTTTAAAAGTTAAATGCAGTATTATATAAATGACTGATGTCATAATTCCTATTCTGAAAATAAGCTGTCTTGGCTAGGCACACTCCACTTCAAATTGTAAAATTGCGGTTTTTACAGTATTCTGATTCTCCACATTGTAAGCTTTAAAATCATGGATTATTAACTGGAAAACACTTACTATTGCCAAAGAGTAAAAGTATTATGGCTTCTCTGTACAGTAGTAAAGTATACAATATTCCTGCCACATTTTTATGATAATTACTCAGTTTAACTATAAGCTACAGTACGAATGTTTTTGAATGGCAAGCCTCATTATGTGTTCAAGTTAATATATAACATACACACACACATACATTCCATAAACTCATGGTATATTTCTTTTAAGGTTCATGAGAAAGATGTAATTGGCATAGTGCATCACCCACACCAAAACATGTTAGCAACATACAGTGAAGATGGACTTTTGAAGCTGTGGAAGCCATGAGGCAGTGTGAAAGACTTTAGATACTACCAATTCTAACATAATTGATGTTGACTGTCAATACAAGATTGAATCTGAATCAATTCTGATTGAATCTTGGTGTCTGCAAGTGACACCTCCTCTCCACTCCTACTTAAGGTAGAGTCATTGAGGAGATTAATTAACTTTTACTATAAAACTATCTTCCTGATGATAACTGTTTCTTCATCTTCCCAGTTTTCTTTTTATCTTAATAGGAACCATGTTAGGGTCTACATTTCCAGTTTCTAATCATGCTATATGCATATAAATAGGTACACTATACTTTGCCAGGCTAAAGGTATTGACAACACCTTTTGTCAGGTTCTGTTGCTGGAGCAATCATGGTGGTGGGGTATGCTTTGTCATGCTATGATATTGATGGAACCAGTGGTGAGGTGGTTATATTTTATCAGGCTCTGGTACTAGCAGTACCCATTAGTGTGGTTGGATCTGAATTACCATTAAATCATGTAGTAATGTTTTATGAATTCTGAAATTAAATGTCTGTAGTCTTGTGTTTAAAATTGATGTACATAATCAGAGGTTCCAAGCAGCTCCTGACAACGGGAATGCATGGCTATAGGCCATTTTAATCTCACTCTAATGAGCTTATAGTCACTCAACTTCTTTCCCTAAATTATTAGGATGTGGTTTGAAGCAAGTGTACAATATTAAGAATGTATGATGATCCAGGCAAATGTATCAGTTGTAGGTTCACATTGTCATTGCATAAAGGCTGCCTGAAGTTTAATGTCACATATCACATGTATTTGGTTTTAAATTAAGAATTCCTACAATCAATATTTACTGTACTATACTATCATTACATACTTGAATTTGATGCATTTATTAAACTGTATAATGTCAACCCAAACACTAGTGACTAGGACAGCCCTATTGTAGGTTAAAGTCCACTGGTAAAGGCAGCTCTAGAATTGTAACTGAATAATGGCCAATAAAATGTCAACTTGCAATTTATGTAATATGTATTTTTATTACAATATTGGCATGCCTTTCATTTACAGTACAGTATTGTAAATTCAACAGGCATTGCCTTCAGGTAGCCAATATTTCCTTATATTATTTTAACTAATTGTTTTTGTAATGAGTTTCACAATTTAAATAAAATTATTGGCTTAATATATGTTGTATGGCAGTATATGTTCTAAATGATTATCTACGGGTAAGCATGAAAAAGATTATATTAATTCAGATCCTAATGCTGTTGTTGCATAGAAAGGGTTAAGTTGTCATTACAACCACTATTTCCAATTTGTATGTAGAAAATGCTCTAAAATTGTACATCAGTTTCCTGGCTCACATGATGCAGAAAAAACAACAATCAATTTGCACGAGTGTGGATTGAAGATCTTCAAAAACCTTGTTTAATCCAACATACATCTTATAACAATAAAGTACAGTAACAGTAGATACGACTTCAGACTGAATTTTACAGATATTCTTTTAACTCTTTTATAAACTATACCTGTTAATGATTACTGTTTGTATTAGCTAGTTATGATCTGATCATCAAGAATAACACCAGTTCATTTTAAAAGCAAGTATACCACCTCCATGGGTATATGCAGACTTTACTTGATTTATACACAACCCCACATAACACTATCTGAACAAGTCATGGGAGAATTGGTATGCCTTTAAATACCTGTACATTTTTTTCTCTCTTTGTCAATTTAAAGTCGGAGTTACTGTATATCCTGGTCCCGAATCTTTAATGTCACTATTGGATAGGCTTATCTTCATAAGACTTCTACGAATGGATACCTTGTTGAAGCAAGAAATAAAGATTGTCTTTACCCAGTACTGTTTGTATATTTTATTCATGTGGGAGATTTTGAACCTATGGTAACAAACATTTCCCATAGCATTTCTAGACACACAAAACGTGATTGCAGATCGGAATGAAAGAATGTTTTAATATTTTATTTGTTTTAATTCAAATTTTCCATGATGAGTACAAACCCTGCATGAAAGTCATTGTACCAAAAGGAGTTTATCTCCACACCTATTAAAACCCACTGTTCTTCATCCTTATTTGTTGCCAATTCCAGTAGTATCATGCCCAAGCAACTCATATTTGTATCTGTTTTACAGTTTTGTCAGGTGCTGCTGCTGCTATACCAACATTACAATCCATGTATTATAGTCCTGTTACGCAGGCCATCAACATACTCCTTGGCTTGGTCATATCCAGTGACAACCACCTCCTTAGGGGGAGGCCCTTCCTTGAGGCAAACATAGTAGTGCGAGTAGTTGATATCCATGATACCATAACGACCCTTTGCATGTATCCTAATGGCCTTTTCATAATCACCTTTACTTGAAAAAGATTCAGCTATAAATACACAAAAAAAATCAAATTAACACAATACAACATGAAGAATCGGGTGAACATATTACATTTGTTTCATTGTACAATCCTTTCGCAATTTTAAAATCATGAAACTTACCGATGTGAAGATTTGATCTAAACTCAACATTATGCTCTTTCACTGCCATATCCTGAGCTTCTAGTAAAACCTGTAATACAGTAATAAATGTGCTTAAATAGCAAACTTGTTCAAATAGAAAATCAACACTATATTATCAGAGCCCACACTGCCTGATAATTCTGGGTTCAATTCCTGTCAGTGTTGCAGGATTTGTTCTCATGTCCCTAAACCTCATATTGAGATTTAGCATGTAAAGCATCGTGTGTGTATGTTTGTCTTGTGAAAGGGGTTATCGCCTACAAGTAGGACAGTGATATATTCACTATTAAAATAAAAAACAATAAAAATATTTGTTACCATTTAGGGCTTGTGTACATAATATAAAGAAAGTATGATTGAGAGATGGATTACCTCTTTGGCTATCTTGGCACCCTTCATGTTAATGTGGTCCAACTGCATCAGCGCTTCGTCTATCATCATACCTTTGATCTGTAAAATATTCCAACATATTGATATCACCAAAACTTTCAATGTTATCTATCAAAAACGTTGCAAGATGCCAAAACGATATCATTTGTACTTTAAACATAAGCACACATGGGCATTACAAAATGACACAGCATTCTAAGGTATTTTTTAAAATTATAGAATGATCCATAGATCCATTAAACAAAAATCCTCAGATGGCAAGAAAAGAAATTACATACCGGTACCACAAAAATTACCACACATTTCCACCACATTATCTCAATTTATCTCCACCTCCCAAAGACAGCCAGAAGAAAAACGGCACAACTTTAGTGTAAAAAAAAAGTAAATCCTTGCGAAGTCAAGAGGCCCATAGAGCTGGAGCTTATCCACAGTTTCAAGTACAGTAACGAGAAGCAGATGAGAGCTTGACGCTCCCCCTGGGTTGGACGCCGGTCCCCCGCAGGTTACTCCCAGCAATTCACTGGTACCCATTTACCGGGTAGACTGAAGCAATGTAGATAAAGTGCCTTGCTTAAAGACAAGCAAAATGCACAGTGAAGAAGGATTGAATCTTTGACCTCAAGGTTGGGAAATCGAATAATTTCCACTAAGCCAAACTGCTTCCAAACACCTACAAAAATAATTTACTAGTCACCCACAACCTAACAATTTGCCAAGTGGAATATTTGGGAGAAAACAACAAATACCAAAAGGGCCTTATTTCCCAATGGTATGTTAGAAAGTTACAGGTGGTTTTTTGAGGATTCAAAGATGTTTTTAACTTATAGGCAACCCTACAAGGAGTCAAACAACTTTAATAATACATCTTTCATTTATTTGAAAATCATCAAGAACAATTCTTGATCAAATATACCTAACTGTGTTGACTAATAATATTGTATTAAGTTAAAAAAAAAAATACTGTCTGTTATCTTGTCTACAGCACCATCAGTAGGCTTAAGTTACATTGAACTCAATGTTAAGTAAGGTCGAAACTTTCCATGTGAATTAGCCAAAAAAATCCATGAAATGTGAACTTACAAATGTTGCTATGTACCACATCTTATCCTTGCTGTATTTTATTTGTCTCCTACAATGATAAACTTCCTGAAAAAAAAACAAAAAAAAACACACACAATGGAAAACCTTGTTTAAATGCAAAGAATACAGAGTGACATTATTTCATAAAATCTGGTAATTAGTGGGGAAAGTATTTTCTCCGAGTTCATAAAATGTATTCCTTTTGTTAACATGTTGAAGTGATAAAGTTCAGCAATCTAAGCACTAAGGTAAGTGCACCACCCCAAGTTTTCTTGCAAGCATTAATTTGATTTGAGTCGCACAGTAGTAGTGTTACTTGCAGAAGAGCCACGTTGGATTCTCCTTTAAAGCCTCCACAAAGGATTAGCTGAAACTTCCATCTTGTAAGTTATCAGTCACTAGTTTGAACAGATTAAAATAAAAACAGATTTACATAAGAACAAATTGTCAGTCTCACTTACAGCCATCCTAGGGGGCTCTCCTGGCTTCTGTGGTGGATATTTAACATTGTTCTTTTTCTCCCATCTCCTCCTTTGTAAACTGGTTGCACCAGTGTGGAAACATTGTGATGGAGCTACATTTAGAACTCTTGGATAAATATATAAAGAAAGATTTTTTAACATTTCACACATTTATTTTGGGATCAACAAGGCCTTGTTTTTGTAATTTAACAGGGATGCTAAGTCTCTCATTAGTTGTGCAATTCAATGAGCAAGAAAAAATCTCACAGAAACTAATTTACCACAAAGTCACAATGTTTGCATGTTTTTAATACTCTATCATCAATTGTCTCCAGGAAGTCTGCTGGGCATGGCATGCAGTGGCATATCCAGGGGTGCGCGGGGAGATGTGTATAAGAGACAGCTATAACAGCATTCTAAGTTAACAGTAATAAAGCAGACCTCCCAGATATGGCTTTCCCCAATTTGGGATCCCTCCCCGATTATGTTAGAATCAATAACTTTATACTCCATGTTACCTATTTAAGCAGCATATATTTTGCCATCTTTGCTGGACTTGATATGTTGTGGGATGAAACAATTCTGTGGTCCCTTGTCGCCAACAGATAAATGCTACAAATACCATAAATAAAACTGGATCATTGTTATAATAAAAACAAAAATATATTAGTTTCATAACTACAATACAATAATCAAAAGGTAATAATAATACAGTACTGTATAGGCATTTGTACTGTGCTGAGAAATGAAAGGCATTGGTATTGTTTTTAATAGTACCCCTGGTCACTGGATTTAGCAGGCTGGCACAAAGTGCAACCTCCTTGCCATTCCTGGGATTCCTGGGAAGTTTTCCAGTCATGCTTGCAATTTAATTATAACTAGCAAACCTTTTTCTTCATTAAGACTAGCAAAAGTTATAATAGTTGGTCTATATATCTTATAACATCAAATCCTTTTCTTGATTATGAGTCTGACTAGCAACCCTGTGGTGGTTAGCTAATATTATGACTAGCAAACATTCAGTCTAGCAAGCTTGACCCAAAAGTTACACATTTTCACTTCTCATTCAAAGTTGAAAAGTTACATGAACATTTTGTTCGGAGTTTCAGCTACATTTTTAATATTTTTTTATGCCAACCAAAAAAAATGTGGGAGGACCTATCATTTATTTAGTTTCATCTAATATCTAAATAAATTAGAATTGTTAATTTTATCAACAGAGTGTCCAGAAATTTGCTGACAGGGGGTTTGACATGTCCGACAGGGCGTCCCAACCCAGGGACCAACTAAAAAATCCCTGGTATAGTGTGTGGTAGGGCTTACGGGGAGAGATTTTACGGCTGAGTATTGCCCAAATTGTGCTTTTTAGACCACAATATTATTAAGGATTGGCAATCTAAATAACATTATTTGGATTCGACTGACCTTGTTTTAGAATTAGACGTCTGAGGTCCAGGTTTGTCAGACAGGGGAGGGGGGAAGAGACCGTATAGTATGGCCTGCATGCCGTGGGGAATATATTATACATGCCAACTTTGCTGGCATCTGATGCACAAGAAAAAAAAAATAAATTTGTATATAGCACCCTCTATGCAAAAATCATGAAATATAGTGCCATCTATGTTACCTACTGTATTTTAAAATTGTAATAGCAAACTATTACTGATTACAGTCGTTGGTCGGTGTATAGCTTCGTTAAAAGAAGTATATATGGCCTGTATTCACATTTTATGGTGAATTCACTCCATTTTTTATTAATTTATTTTTACGGTAAATCAGCCTATAAAAAAGGGCCTACATTTTATTTTTCTAAAATTGTTTGTCATGCATTAGATAATACAATGTAGGTATGAGACGTAAAAATAGATGCTCATGCCTATGCATTATGCGTGAAGTTGGCAGAGCATATAGGCCCTATGACCCCTTCGCCCTTGCTGGTGCTCATTGCATTCCATCCAAAATGTCTCTCTGCCATTCTGAATATTTTTTTAATTGATGATACCTTAAAAACCTGCTCAAATTTGCAGGAAAATAGCTTGGAAAACTGGTGCAAGAATCATAATTACTGCAATTATTACATTGTTTATAATAATTACACAAATAATAAATACAACAGGTCAAAGAAAGCCTTATTTATTACATTAGAAAACCTAGGCCTAAGTGGAAATCAGTCAAATTTGTGCGGAAATTCGCTAGAAAAATAAATGCGCAGAATCGTAATTACTGCATAATACATTGTTTTCAGATTAATTTAAAGCCTAATTTGTTTGGCTGACGCATACTTGGCCTCTAGGCCTAACCCTAGCCTAGAGTAGCAAGGCCCCAGCCTAGGAAGGAGGAGCCTACTCTAAGTTAGCCGCTAGGCTAGGCCTAGCTTAGCTACACACTAAGGATTGGCTAGGCTTAGGCACTAGGCCTAAGAAACATACAATTCAATATCACCATGCATAATACCTGCTCTTCTAACTATATTCATTGTTATAATGCTAATGTCACATTCGGATTAGTGAATCCTTCTTGGTTAAAAAAAGGCACGCGATGGTTCTTCTCGTGTTTATTCCTTCGTTCGACCGATGGGTAGTTGCTAAATACAACGGGTTCAGCCGAGGGGCGTGGCTTGTATATGGTGATGTCATGTATAATTATGCCGTTTACCAAAAAAACATCACACTACACTGTGTGACAAATGTGAATTTAGCAAGGCGAGCAGGCTGAGGCTTAGCTTAGTTTTCTCTTGTGCTGCTGATATGGGCGGGTGAGAGACGATCGAGTGCATTTTTAGACCATTGGCCTAAGTAGCCTAGTATGGACGTTCGTAGGTCTAGGCTCCCTCTAACCTGCTCTAACTAAGCCTGGGCTAGGACGGACCAGGAGGTATTTTCAGTAGTCGGGACTAGTCCTAGATTGTGTGTAGCAACCCGCAGCAGTCCGTCTAGGCCTATACCTCATTTACGTGAAGTTAGACCTATGCAGAATCTGTGTAAGACCCTCGCCTAGGCTACTGAAGAATCTGCACTGAAATAGGCGCAGAATACATAACATTTAATACAAATATACATGACTAGACATTGGAAAGTTATATACATATATTTAAACTTCTTATTTCTCTTTTTCTGGAATATAGCCGGCAATATTGTTTCAAAGCAGTGAACACTAAAAAAAAAATCTTAACTTCAGCAGTCATGTTGTAAAAGTTATTTTAATTTATTAGGCCCATTTTCTCTTCCAGTGAGGTAATTTGTTCATAGGATTAAGATTGGAAAATCCATAGACTATAGTAGTACAGGATTTGCCCGACGAGGGTGCCGATGTCCCCGACGAAAAAAGGTGAGCGTGGTCGGGCGTCCCTCAATTATATCCGTCGAAAGCCTTCCACGGGGCTCCCTCCCCCTCCCCCCGAAAAAAAAAAACAATTTTGGGTTTGAAAGGCTTACTTAGTCGATTTTGGTGTCTACTAATCATTTAGAAAATACATTAGATTTTTCTCCCTGACGAACTTGGTTTTGCTCCCCGACAGGGGGTGGGAGAGAAGCCAGACCTCCCCGACCGTGGCCGCCACCCTTGCTTAGTACATTATTGTACTATAGTAGGGCCTAGGCCATGAATGGTTTTTATTTCTGTCTGTGATTAAGGCCTAATCCCTACCGCTAAAATAAGACTAACTAGACATAGGGCCTATGTATTATTTCACTCTGTAGGCCCCATGGATTGATAATATTCCAGGGATCCTAATTTTTGGGGGAAAAAACACACACACATTGACAACTTATTTTTTCTTAAATTGGTTGTACCGTGAAGGAATTAGTTGTACGAACTGTATTCTGCAATGCTGTGCAATTACAGACAGGGCCCAGTACACTCGTGTCGAGTCTCATTTAAAATGTCGGAAAGCTCATTTCCATCTAGGAATCAAAGTTTTCCCTGGTGAGAACCCCGGACCCCACTTTTCTTTGGAGTCAGAAGTCAGTAAAACTCATTTCCCGCCTTCTAGGAATCAACATTTCCCACGGGGGGGACCCCGGATCCCCCTTTTCTTTGGAACTTATCGATTCATTGAAAAACGAATACGTATGCAACTACTCATTTTTTTTATGTATGTATACACACATAAGGCCTATTTCCTGTAATAACAATGAGAAAAAAATTACCTGACCGTTTTCAAGATTGGAAAACCTTGAATTTTGAAGAACTTAAAAGTAATTAAGACACCTCAGAAGTCAGAAAAGCTCATTTCCCGCCATCTAGGAATCAAAATCTTCCCGGGGGAGAACCCCCCGATCCGACCACCTTTTTCTTTGGAGCTTATCGACTCATTGAAAAAAGAATACGTATGCAACTACTAATTTCGTTTATGTATGTATACACACATAACCAGCCAATTTACTGTAATAAGAATGAGAAAGTTTACATGACCGTTTTCAATTTTGAAGAACAAAGGCATTAGACACCTAGCTCAAAAGTCGAGAAAGGTCATTTCCCGTCATCTAGAAATCAAACCCCTTTCGTTTTTGGGAAAAATGCCACTTGGCCCCCACCCTCTAGGTTTGATTCCAGATCTACATGATTCATATTCCCATTCATCTTATAAGTGCTCCCCCCCCCCCAATTTAAAAACACGTTCCGCCGGCCCTGTGTTGTGCCCCCTCCCCCATTTGAAAAATTCTGGATCCGCCCCTGTACCATTATGCCATACCTTGTCGAAAACCGTAGATATATCTAGAAAGACAAACATTACTTCATTTTTAACACCAAGAAATGTATCTGTAAGGTAAAGAAGCTGGTATGTGGTAGAATCATCTGGTGTAAATCCTGATTGAATCTGAGTGAGACATTTATTAGACACAAAATAGTCAGACTACATCAACACAGCTCATTCAAAATATTTCACAAAATTCGACCATATGGATATGCTTTAATTCGATTTTTAAATAATAATTTTACTTGCTTCGATTGCTGATCTTTTAGTTATTTTTTTTTTTAATGTTTTAAGCCTTTTAATTGTCCTTGTGGTGTCAATTTTAAAACAAATCCCGTTTCTACTGTTCTCTGTTTACGAGAAAAACTGGGTTTTTCTTAATGTTTTTTTTTTTAATGAAATGTATTTTTTTTCTCTTTTATTGATGATTGTTCTTTGTAATGTAATGTTAGAAACTATAATAATGATGATTATTCTTTGTAATATAATGTTTTGACTTTTGCTTTCCTTGCGAACGTCATAACCACTCCAGAAGCCATCGTGGTGGTTCAAGTGCAAGGTAGAATCTAACTTTCATAATACAATTGCTCTTCTGTGCATTATTTTCAGCTTGTTTGATCTCGAACAAAAATCATATACCATTTCCTATTACCCCGGTATAGTTCCGTAACAATTTGTATATAAGTATGTAACATATAATGAGTGTTGAACATTCACATTTTTTACATTCAAAGAAAAAACCATGGACCAATTAATTAATGATAATTAAAAAAAAAACCATCTAAGAAATGCAAGTACCAAAAATAAAACAAAAATCCACAATTCCACAAAGCCAAAACTCAATAACAATTCGTTAAAGTGACCATCAATCCAATTAAAAGTAACTCATGAACTAACTAGGAATGAATTCTATAAAAAAAAAAACTTGGCTGCTGAACATTCAGATAATTCTTTGAGTGGGGATGTTTGTGCTGGTTTGTTTTATGCATAATAACTATTTGCATAAACTAGAAAAACTTTACGAGAAATAACATGCACGCAGATTCATCAATAACCAAAAACAACTACAAGGCTTTGAAAATGACGTCATTAATTTTGTGCGGTTTCCTTATTTGCAATGTTCCTCTAAGTATAGTTATTTTTTTGGACAGTATTTGGACAATTTAAATGCTTTAGTATTTTAAGCTCATATGTATTGTTTTATGTTAATTCAGCTACGAATCCGATTATTTATGCTCCTTGTAGTCGAGCGTTCCGAGAAGCTTTCAAATTAGTACATAAAATAAAAATGTGTACCGTAAATGTTAAAAACTGTTCAGATATTATAAGTTCTGGCATTCAACATTTTTTTCGGTTTGTTCTTCTATTGAAACATGAAGATAGTACTTACTGACTTGACATGTCTCACTAAGACCTCTTGCAAAGAGGCGAAACATTTCAAGTCGGTAAGTAAAAATGAACAATTACTTTAAAAAATGAGAACTGGATTAACAAAAAGCAAAAAGTAACATTTCAGAAATATTTTATTAAATCCAGAATGAATTTATTTCCTATGATTTATAAAGATGGTATTGTGCAAGCAAACAATCAACATCGATATTCATAAATATTCAAAATCTCAAAAACAATAGCCATCAAAGAGGAGAAATTTCATTATACTGTATAGAAAATTAAACATTTTTCTTTTAGACCAAAATATTATTTCAGTCACAATTACTGTACTTTAGTTGAATCAACAAATCAATATTCCGGCAACTTTTAAGTCGTGTAAGTGTACGACGTCGCTCGTCTTACGAGTGGGTAATCCCTGATCCACTTGGCGCTACCATTGATTGTACCACTGTATCAGGTATTGAATCTAAAAATGAAGCGGATGTGTAACCTATATTTCTACTGTGGAGTGTTCAGTGTTTCAGAATTGGTTTTCATCGTTTTGATTGATAAGATTTTGAGACTTTAATATTGTCATATTAAGCTTCAATTTGTATTAGGTACTATGTTTACATGAATTACAGAAAAAAGTTAAGTGTTTGTATTTTGACTGCAAGCTGCAAGTTTGAAAACCTAGCAAGAAAATTTGATTTTAATATAGATGCCTATTGATTGTCTTGCACTATACTGATAATAAATCATTATTTGAGTTGACTACTTCGCATGTTTGTTTATAAATCTGTATTGGGTAATTTCATGTCAAATCAATAAAAAAAAAACCATTAATCTTGGATTTTTTTAAAGTTTTAGTATGTGGTTGGGACCCATTGATCAGAAATAAACAATTTTTGATCTCGGACTCTTAATTAGCGAGATACGCGCTAACAAAGTTTGAGCTAATTAGCGATACCTTGCACGTTTAACTGATCATATCTCAGTAAATATAGCACCTATTGAGCTGCTTTTTGCGTCATTTTAAAGGTTTTGAGTAGGTCTACAATTCTAAATAAATACTAACTCCTCAAATCAACCATAAAACAGTTGCTATAGATTAAAAAGTTTAAAGTTGAATAGAAAAAATATATATCTTTTTTATCCCTTCAAAATCATGCTAGAGGTACATTATGATGTAAAGAAAAAATGATACGATAATGATGACATGAAAAATAATTTACAATTACAAACATAAATAAATCCAAACTTTCATTTTAAAAAGCAAGGCAGATTGAAAGATGCAACTAATTCAGTGTTAAACAATTACCATTTTAGAACAAATTAAAAGTTAGAATAAAGAAAAATATTTAGTGAAAAAAACAACCTCGGTAACTAAATAACACATTAAGTAAAATAAGGGTGGGCATACCCTATGTCAGCTATAAATGTATAATTAAAACTATGGTCCTATGCCAATAATATTTTTTATTTATTTAATTAAGCTTGTAAATGGGTC